ATAGGCTAGATAAGCTGCGACAGACAGGTTTTGACACTAATATAGATAGAATATGGGATATTATATCAGAAGCAATTTGATACGCAGCAAACAAAAACATACCAAAAAAGAAAGTGACAAATGATACTTTCTATATGAAACGCAAGCGCAAGACCTCAGCTCTACACAAATCTATTGTGGCACTTAGCAAAATAATATGGTCAGTCAAGAGGGCACTAGATACGAGAACAGCTCTGGTTAGCATAGACGACACAAATAAAGCAATAGACAAAATAAACGCAGAACAAGGTACCAACATTGAGCAGATTAGGCATGTTGACGAGGCCATATTAACTGAATGGGTACAAGTAGCCAAGCATGGTTTGAAAGCTATGAGAGTGCAAGAAAGGCTTAAAGATGATAAGCAGGTGAAAGAGGTAATAAGTAAAGTGATAAGCACTCAATGTGAAAGAATAGATGGTGATGTAAGCAGAATGCTAGCAAGTATACTAGATAAGCCAACCAACAAAATTAGAATTAACAGAGTACTTGAGGTAGATACTAAGAAGCATATACTCCATACCGAGCCAGATATAGTCCTAGATAAGACTCACAAGCATTTTGAAGAGCAGTTCAAGGAGAGAAAGATCGGGACGGAGAATAACATTAAAGATGAATTCTATACACCCTTAAAAGAAGTAAAAGAAGAGTGGTATAAGAGCTTAGGTGAAGAAATTACTCTTGAGGAGTGGTTGGCTGCAGTAAATGGAACAAAGAACCAAACAGTATCTGGGGCTACGGGAATCGGTTACTGCCTAATCAAAAATACGAGTACCTCAGTCCATGAGTTGTTTAGAAAATTTGCAAACTCATATCTAAAAACTAGTAAAATCCCCACAAAGTAGAAATTAGTACAGATCTACCCTATCCCAAAAAGCGAAGATTGGGGTTACCAACTATGCAACGTGAGGCCAATTGCCCTTCTCGAGACCTTTAGAAAGTGCATAACAAAAATTCTAACCAAGAGGGTAGTGTTACAAGCCGGCTGGGGCAACCGCGGCTAAGGCGGCTTAGCCGGCTAAGCCAGCCGATATAATATAATTGGCTGGCTAATGTGGCTTAAAGTCATATGACTTTAAGTAATATAATTTAGGCCAGAGTAACAATGTTAGGCAGAATTAGGTATCGTACGCCACTGACTATAGTACCCCGGGTACTATTTAACAAAATTTCTTAAATAGTACCCGCCCGGTCCAGGGGAGACCGTCCCAAATTAGGAAGTTATTACCTGAGTCACCCGGTCGTTATACACGTGATAAAAAAATTTTTTTTTATATGTTTTATAATAATACTATTAATTCCAATTAGGTCATCGTGAAATTTACTAATAGACACTATTGTTCTGACACTATCGTTCTAACCCTATCCTTAAACCTTTTTTTAAAATCGAAGCCTGAGATAAAATTTCACTGAAAATATTGCTTTTGATTAAATAATTTGAGAAATTTTTTTTTAAAAAAGACGTTGCTATATAATTTCGAATTTATCAAATATTATGTAGAAAAATAAAAAAATTAAAATACTTGTTCGCTTTAATTTTTATCAAAGCTATTGATCGCTATTATTTTTTAAATGTGAAATTTGCTCGTTAGCCAATACAACTTAGTTTTACATTTGTTGGTATTGAAAGTCCAAGGTTTACAATATTGCCATTATGTAATAAGTTTTTTCGAATAAATTATTTGAAGAACCTGAGTTTTTAATAAATCTTATATATTTCTTGAAAGTTTTTTTTTATTTAATGAATGACCTTTTAATTGGTCAACTAATCAACACAGTCTTCTTCGTGATAATTACATTTTTTGGTAAGATGTTGTTCGATCATGATTAACAGGTTTTTTATACGAACTTATATTGACGAGGATCTTTTACAAATATAAGATATTGCTTGAAGAATTTTCTAAGTTTTTTTTTAATTTTGTAATCATAATACACTTAAATTACACAATCGAATATAATGGATTAAACCATTTTTTAGCAGATTTAAATCAAACAAACATGATTAAGATCATATTGATGAATTTTGGTATTATCAATTTATTAAATAAAAAAAAAATTATATATATTACAACTCAAGAAATGATTTTTTTGCTAATTCTAATTCCTCCATTGTTGTATTGCCTGTTACTGTTTCGACATTATCTATATTATTCTCAACTATATTTTACCTTTTTTTATCAATAAACTCATTATCGCCTAATTTTTTTACCAGACTTACCTTTAGTGCATCAACATTTTTTTTAATTTCATCTTTAAGATAATCTAAGCATATTACGCACTTAAATTGACACTTCTCTAAGCATTGATTGTGGTAACCATGCCCACAAGCAAGAACTTTACCACAATCCGAATAATCAATGCAATTACAATTCAAGTAGTCGCATACTGTCGCTGTAAAGGGTTTCCTAGAGGTAACAAAACCTCTTGGAAGGTGACGATCCGTTATTTTATAGCCTAAAGAATACAACTTATACGTGTTAATATTGTTAGATGAATCAATAATTGAAGAATACTGATAACGGGCTTGATATATCTTCTTAAATAAGCCTAAAAGTAATACAGCGCATTTTCGAGAAAGCATGTGCAATTGCTTAGGCATATATGGATATTTGACGGAATCAACAAAATATTTTCGAAAGGCATTATCTTCGCGGTGCTGAAAAATAAAACGAGCCTCTTTCTGTAATTGCTCTGCCTCAGAAAACTTGGCCGTACGTCGTCGAATAATACTGTGAACAAGCTCTACAGGACAATCGCTTAAAGAGGCGAGTCGATTAGTAATCATATTGATTAATGGGTGATTGGTATCCATCCAAAAAAAAACATCTGAAAAAAACATTAAAGGGGCACGTTTGTAATTTCTTTGATCAAATTGAAGAAAAAGATCACTCCAGCAGTGCATACAAGCCTCTTCGTAAGCCGGCCAGTTACCTTCATAATGATGTACCGCATAGACGTCAAGAACTAAAGGGATTAAATTACTCAAAAGATTGGTTAAATACAAGAATTCAATATTTTTACAAACATTTCCAAATTTTAAATAAACAAAATCAGCTATATTAAGCCAGGCCATGCGCATAATATAAAGAATTAAATCAATCCGCCATGGCCATGGCGTCTTACCTAGAACCTTATTTTCTCCAAAAATACCTTTGTAAATATCATTGAACAAAAGTGAATATTTGTCAAAAACAAGTTCACGACTATTCAATAAAATGTGAAGAGGTCCCATCATAGGCAAAAATGCCGTAACGAAGTGAGGAATAATTTCATTGTTGAGAAGAACCCGGTGTGCAATAGCCTTGTGGATATAAAACTGCCCAGGCCAATCTGCAACGATCAGTATTACGTGGCTAGAAAGATACTCTCCCATTGGTTCTTGATCATGCACGATTTGAAGAGCTTTCGTATAATTTTCAATACTCTTCAAGTTGCTTTCGACAAAATCAAAAAGGATAGCATTCTGTATATGTCTATCGCTTTTTTTTTCTGCCAACCTATTATCGTAACTATGCAAGGTTAGTTTTTCTATAAGATCATCATTAGAACCTTTACCTTTTACATGATCATGATAAGAAATTCCAAGGTTGGCCATAAATCGTTCATCGAGATGCTTCATAATTAGCTCATCGTCAACGATTTTTGGATTGAGCGCCCCGTTACGTGGTATAGCTGGTATGGGACACAGATTCGTTACGATTGTTGCCATGTGTGCTGCCCAAGACGTATCAGTGGTGTCTGGTTGTTGCCGTGGAGTATGAATATTGTGATAATCGTCAATATTCAATATGAAAGAATTTTCAGAACAATTCTTAAGGGCCTTCTCTACATATTCTTTATGGTTTTCCAAAATTTTTTTCTTTTTACGATCTACTGCTCTTGCAGTTGTAGTTATGCCGATATTAGCCAACATATTCAGACCTTCATTGCTCGTATCTACAGAATCCAAATAATATGCTAAGTCAAACTTAAAAGAATTAATTTTTGAATTGTTTAATGATGCAAGAAGATAACATAAAAAAACTATTAATCTTTTCATACGCCCCATTGTCTGCTTACAACGCTTAAATGGCCGAGCTAATGAATAAAGTTGATCGAAGAAGTTCTTCAAGCTTGGGTCGATTTGTAGAAGTAATTCTCGCATTTCATCAAACAAATATATAGGGCCTTCTTTCCGTGTATATTCTCTCTCATAAAAAATTCATGCCATAGATCTAACAACTTCAACAAGGTTAATCATACTCACCTCCTCTTCGTCTACGGCCTCTATATCCTCTCCTATTGTAGTTTCTACATCTCTCAATTCTACACTTTCTTTAATTTTATTTTCTATCAAAACTTTTACTCGTTTGGCTTTCCTTAATTGATTCTCTACAAAATTCATGTAACATTTATTGCATAATTTGTTACCTCTTACCCAAGCTTCCTTGATCAAACTGGCAGCTTCGGCTTCTTCTCATTTCTTTCCTGCTAACGAACGAAATTGTTGGGATTTAGTAGTTTTACATTCCATATACTCCTTAATTTCAAACATATTTGCTATTAAGTAAGTTAAAGTAAGATCAACTGAATCAACTTGAATCAACCGAGTTTGTTAAAATATAGTGCAAAAGCTTCAAGTTCACTTAGTTCGATTTGTCACGTTTGATAGAATAGATAGGTTACTCAAAGCCTCTAAAAATGTAAAAAAGTGTCATAAAACCTATAAAAAAATTTTTTATTCTTGTGTAACCATATCGGAATTTTTACCTAATTTGGGATGGTCTCCCCTAGACCCACCCGGTACTAATCACAGAGAAGAGTACTATAATAGAAAATACTTATATACCTTCATATTATTTAATAAGAACTTCAAAACTAAATATATATATACCTAGCTAGAATACCCGAGCCTTATTCAATTTTCTGAATCACAAACCCATGAATAGTATTCGAGTCTTTTTCATAGAATATTGTGACAGGAGGTATTATAGTTGGTAATATACGGTAATAGAAAGCAAGAATTAAAAAATTTCTAAAGAGAAAATAAACAAACATCGAAGATAAACAAGATTAAGAAAAAAATTTGGCTTTAGCCATTAGCTAGCCACTAAGCTGAATTTTTTATCGGCTGGCTAAGCCAGCTGATAAAAACCTTATAGCTTGTAACACTACACACCGTATGTAAAATCAGTTGTGTAATATCAATGGTTCCTCCTGTTTTTGTATAGGCCAAAATGTCCAGTTGAAACATTGTGATTATTAAAATGATTATAAAATTTATATAAAACTGATAAGACCTATAAAGTAAACTATATAAAAAACTGATAAGTAACTGATAAGCAAATCATAAGAAATATTATTTTTAATCTTAATAGTCACGCCAAATCTTGTATATGATTGGTTTAAAATTTTTTTATTCATAATAAAAACTGTGGAAATTGGAAATTTATGGCCCATACGTCAGTATATACCATAAATTACCTAATAAAAACTCCAGGTATGTTAATTAAAAACCTATACTATACCCGGGGGTCTATTGTAAGAAAGGGGTATACTTCATAGGAAAACATTTATATGATTGGTTGATTTTTGTAGCTTACAAATTAATAAATACAGCGAAAGAATTTATTATTAATATGTAAAGAATATATACACTTAAAGTGGGTAAATAAGATATTTATTGTCGCAGAATATAATGAAATCAGATTAAAATGAAATAAGAGTTTCTATTTAACCCTCTAAAACCCACTTATACTTGTTTATTATAAACTCTACCCTAAAACTAACCTCTAACTAGTGTTTTGAGTTGATTAAAATTTTTTCAATCGATTAGTTGTCAACTTAGTTGTCGATTAGTTGTAACTAATAGTTGCATGTTTTCATTAAATTTGATTGGTATAATAAACAATCACGTGTTTTCTGTATCATTTCAAACTATTCTGATTGGCTAAAAAAATTATACGTTTTAAATTTATTATGTAGATCAGTGT